CACTGCCACTGCGCCCGCCACCCTGCGACATAAGTTGACAAGTCTCATGTGCCAGTAATTTCTCTTATACCCTTCTAAGCCGGCACGCAGTAATGCTCACATTGCTGCTTGGCGGCAGAAATAGGTAAGGTGGCAGTACTTCTCAGGACGAACTCTTTCAAAAAAAGTTTTCTTTCTTGAGAAAAAAGGAAAAAAAAAAATTTACTAAACTCTTGGGACGTGACGTGTCATCATCGTGAATAGCGCCCACGCTATGAATTGAATGCCTAAGTCCTCCAGGTGGCCCGTGGACATAAGTGGAATAACTGTGTTGATATTGATAATACAAAAATAAACTTTTGTATCTTTACAATGCTCAATGTCTTGTACGATTTTCAATTAAAACCATAATAATTCTTCAACTCACTTAAATAACGTTACGCCGTCTCGAGTAGCACAATGGATGGTTGCAGGAATTCTACTCAGCTGTCCCGTTTATTCGTAACCGTCTGTCCGTTCTATAACTAGAAACTTGGAACAAACGGACTTAAATGTTAAGATAGTTACAAAATGGCGTCATCGAAATACACTATATTCAACAATTATATTTCGTCGCTTCATTCTCGATATAATATTTAACCAGGTAGTTTCCTTAACTTGCTAGGCAACACCGCACGGTTTTTAGAGAAAAAAAAATGTTTTGACGTTGACACTCCCTACGAAGCATCAACCGCCATTTTCTATCCTCATTCCTTTTTCGTGCGTGGCAACAAGCACACCTCCATAGCTCCGTTAAAACGTCAAAGCGAACAAACTTAGAAAAAATCGAATACTATTTAATAGTATTTTCTAAGTAAACTGAAATACTTGGAAAATACAGATGCCAAACGTAGTCGGCGTTATAGGACCATAATATCATCAGACGAGTCAGATTTTTTTCTTACGCTTTTTTTTGTCATATAGCACTACTTGCAACTTCCGCAATTATAATAAATGTTCGCTTTCATACATCGCGAATGTGAATCTAACCTACCTTCAATGAAACATCGGGTTAACTGTGAGTTAGCCCCGATAACTAAATCGAACATGGGTGGATGAAAATCCGAACAGATATATTCATATGTGCATTGTACATGATTTATAATAAAACTGCATCGGAATTAACCACGAGCTAAACGCGATAATGAATTCGACTGCGAGTTGATTTTAATTTGAACAGTGTTAGTACCTACGTGCTAATAAGTAACGTATATTTTTTAAATCGGGGTTAACTGCGAGTTAACCACTGTAATGAAATCGACTGCGAATCGATTTTAATTTGAACAATATTAGTTTTCCTACATGCTAATAAGCAAAGAATTTTTTAAATAAAATAGCGTCGGGGTTAACTGCGAGTTCACCACGATAACGAAATCTACTGCGAGTCGATTTTAATTTAAACAATATTAGTTCCTACGTGGTAATAAGTAAAGAATTTTTAAATAAAATTACGTCGGGGTTAACTGCGAGTTAACTAAGATAACGAAATCGACTGAATCGATTTTAATTTGAACAATATTAATACCTACGTAATAATAAGTAAAGTATTTTTTAAATAAATTTACGTCGGGGTTAACCGCGAGTTAACCACGATAACGAAAGCGACTGCGAGTCAATTTTCATTCGAACAATATTAGTACCTACGTGCTAATAATTAAAGTTGATTTTAAATAAATTTACGTCAGGGTTAACCGTGAGTTAACACAATTTTGTAATAATAACAGTCTGCTTTATCTCTATTATATATAAAAAAGATTACTTAATTTAGATTGAAACCCAGTGCACCGAAGTATAGCAATACTTGGAATTCTCAAGTCGTTCTCGCATTAGTTTCAACGTGGTTTTCCAACACAGAACCTCCTCTTGAAAACTTATGAAAAAACATGTTATTTTACTTGCACTTTGTACTGCACACCGCGTACAAACTGGCATTGATTAAAAAGAGAGGGAGTTTCAGAATCTTTACTTCTGATATGCCGATGTCAAGGGAGGGCGGGTGTTGATTATATCTTAGAATGAAGCGACTCACATAATAGTGATCGAACTTCACTTCAAGAAGTTCGTTTGATCGTCTATTAATTGGCATAGCATAGTTTGTAAAGATAAAACAACTTAAGGTGAGGAATTTGAACGCACGTTAGGACCCACGTCTGGGGGATCACAATCCCCCCTCCAGCGGCATTCGGGAAATACACGGTAGGCCAATCAACCCGTGAACCCTTGTCCAATAGGTGTCAAAAGCACCCAATTTTACCAACCACGGTTCACTCTCAGAGTGGCAGTTGGTGTTGGCAGGTGGTGGAGTGGATAAGCCAGCCAGCCCCCTGCGTCCCATGCGTTTGCGGTGCATGAGATACATATTTCTCTCGCTCCGTTCCGCCGCCGTGGTTGAGATCCCTACACTAACTGGGAAAAGAGCTCATGATCCGTAAACAGCTGAGTAGATGTTCTTCCAACATAGATAAGGAACATTCCGATTACACCAGCTTTGAAATAACAAAAACCGCTTTGAGAACATTTTATCCATTTTGGAGCTACGCCGATGTCAATGCCAGGCATTCAGACACACAGATAAAGGCTGCAAACCTATAACTCTTTTTTTCAGGGGTTGTAACAATTTGTTATTCTTTTCTGTTATAACAACAGTTATAACAATAATTTTTGCCATAAATGTGACCGGGACACGGTTACTATGATAACAGGAATATCAAATCTTCTGAGAAAATCCGATTGTCTGTACCTAGTTCAAAAGACACAATACCATTAACGTACAATATTCAGTTACTTCTGTCTTTTGCCAACTAATATCACCTGCTCACCGTGTCGTGAAGTTACGTAAATCGTAACACAGAAGTTAAGTTTCCACTGTAGGAAATTTAATGCTTTAGTATACTTCAGCTAGTTACGTTTTAAAGGGGACGAGTTAAATTATGCGGAACGAAACTACTTTAAGTGAATTTATTTTTAGGAAGAACAGCTACGAAACTTCACGTTGAACTTTAGTTCTTACTTTCTTTAAATACCCTTTTATTTTTAGTACCTGTTTAAAGAGGTACATTTGTGAATGTTTGGTACTAATATCTCTGACTAGCGGTGGGGGATTTTTGTAGCCTCTACGGTAGCATCCTTACCCCTTCTTTGAGATCCGTTGAGCTGTAGTACTTGGCGGAGGCCAGAAACGCCTGGACGTCTAAATGTTCCGACGTTGTTGTCCCGTCTTTTCCGCACTATTAGAAGCACTGGAACGAGCCGCTCTGGAAGATCGTTTAAGAAGAATTTATACACTCTGCCAGAGACCTTAGAGAACGCCTTAGCTACCTCTGAAACGAGAAACCCTGAGTTTCTGGGAGCCACAAGCGAAACTTCTAGCGAATGAGATATCGGATCGCCTCATAGAAACCTCCGGTGACCACAAGACTAGCAGTTATTAGTTATTATAGAAACGTTGCCGGCCCTCTGGGCCAGGCCGCACTGGGTCCAAGTAGAGGACTAACTCAATCATCAAATATCGATCGTGTGCCATGCTTAGAACAAAAAAGAACGAAGTTTTGCGTATTAGAAATGGGGTTACGTTTGTCTATGTCCATAAATATTCAATAGAAAGCTATTGAATATGTATAACAACAGTGTTATATTTCTTTTGTGGTTCTCAATCTGAAATGGCAGATATCTCGTTTTGTTATAATTACTAATACAAAGATCGAACACTTAAAAAAATCCTTTGATCGAACCAACGTCTCCTAGCAAACCGTACCAGGCGCATACATGAGCGCCGCACCGGCACGCCGCCGCCGCTGCGTTTTTTCTCGCGCCGCCGCCGCCGACAAATGCAATCGGCGCGCCGTCCAGTTTGATCAGGCGCTCCGATCGTACGCAAGCGCACGCTTCCGTATTGTGTATGTAAAAATGGCGACGCCAGAAAATGACTTTTCTAAGATAAAACTTTTTTTTTATAAAATGTAAGTTCGCAGTTGACCTCCATCTCGCCTGATGGAAAGTGACGATGAGATCGACGATGGAGCATACACACCTAAATAATGCCTATTCACTTTCGCCATGAAAAGGCCCAAGTTATAACGTTAAGGGAACAAGTCTGCAGGCAGGAAATTCCACTCCATAGCCATTCGCCATATAAATGTGGAACCGTAACTCTTTGTGCGAATCTTTGGAATATCCGCAACATAGAGGTGGAACCAAAGTCTACGCCTAGTCCCACGGTAATGAAAAAGGGAAAGCGGAATTAAATCGTGTAATTCCATCGTACACTCTCCTTGATATGTCCTGTAAAATTCCGATAAGCTGGCAACTTTACGGCGGTGTTCAAGGCTCTGCAGCTTCGCCTTCACTAATTCCGAGTCACTTATAAGCTTCTTAGCACGGTTGCCAATTGAATCCAAGGTGACCAGTTGGTATGTAGCAGAGCCATCCTAAAGGTGGCAGCAGTACTCCATGCACGACTGGATTTGTGCTTGGTAAAGCTGAAGCAACTATCCCGGTGTGTGTGTCCCTATCTACTGACCCGAGAGATAGGGTTGTCCGGAGAGACTACGGGCTCGACGGCAAGGCCTGGGTACTGTGGGCGTCCGCGACAAGCCCTTCGCCAGTGATACACTTCTTAAGGGCGTCTCTGGCGGACCCGAACTTGGGTAGTCGCTGGCACAAATTGGCAACGCTGGTATTTTGACGCTATAAAATTGACGCTCACGCTTCAAACGCGGCGATATTTTCGTGGCCGAGTTTTGACGCTTTACAATTGACGCTCTCAGCGAATAACGCTTCGAGTGTGGCGTTTTTTTCGTGGCCGAGGCATTAGTCATGCGCTTCGCGGCGTTGGCTCGACGGAAACTCGCCAACGCGCCAAATCCCTTACAGCCCGGGTACAGTATGGGTGCGGGAGCAGGCGGTTCACTACTTTTAATTATGCTTTTTATAGAACTTACAAATATTTTTAGGTATTCTATATTTTCTCCTTTTGTCACTAGTGCCGCGGCGGCAGCGGCGGCGGCGGCGGAGGCGTTGGGTAGCGGGGTGCGGCGCGCTCCTCCACCGCTATTGCGCTCCCGCACTCTGCCCGCCATCATTGCGCCAGGATTCTCCATTTTGCACGCGCAAATCGACCCTCAACGAAGTAACGGTTTGTAATATCTTATATCCTAAACAATTTTATTTTTTTGCATCCAACATGCAAGAGAGTTGTTCAGTTTAAATTGTCTGTAGTGCAATTCAAATTATTGTTTATTTAAATAATCTGGTTTTATGGATCACTAATGCAAAGGGATCTGGCAATCTTTGGGTAAGGCTTATGTTCAGCAGTGGACGTCTTCCGGCTGATATGGTGAATGCGAATGATGAAAACGTACGACCAACTCATGTACGAATGCATAATGGAAAGTTTTTACCTCTAATACTAGTAGAGCATCAGAAACACTTTATTTTTATTCTACCGTCTTAGAGCATGTTGTATGTTTTATTACTACATTGTTGAAGTGTAAATAAAAACAAAATTTCAAAGCCACCTTTAAAATGATACCATTGTGTAGAACTCGCGTGTTTGCCAACCGTTTTTCACATGTCGTTAAGAACACTGGTGCATTTCCGCAACACGCGATCTGAACGCTGAAACTGCTTTTGTAAAGACCATGAAAAGATATTTAAAAAATTAGCTTTCACCGACCTTCATGTTAGTAGACTGGTTTATTTTTTGACAAAGAGATATTTACTACAGCAACATAAGGAAAATATTCAATGAACTTAAGTAAAATTAAATCTTAATGGAAAACATTAAGTCATCAGAATCTGGTATATGTATTATTTATATTTAAAGAATAATTTGTAACTTTTTAATTTTAAAAAACTGTCTTCAAAAGTTTATCTTATATTTATTTATTATTAAGCATATCGGCTTTTTTCGATTACCATAGGATACCCTATGGATTCCCCTAAGACTATCCTTTTTTTCCATCCTCGAAGGGATCCCCTCATCAGATTCTGACGTCTTGGTGATAACGGGACTGTTACGGACTCTTTTGTACATTTTGTATTTTCTTTTCGGTGCACAATTGCCATCAATTATCAATTATCAATATGTATGTTTTCAGATTTCTCCATAGAAATCTGAAAACATACATACAGCGGAACGTAATAACCTCTTCGTTTTTTTTGAAGTCAGTTAAAAAAGACAGAGTGAAGACGCTATCTTACTTTATGCATTATATTTTTTTATAAGCATACAGCAAAGCCATTACGGACAGATATAAACTAGAGTTGCTTAACTGTCTTAGTCTTAACAGTACTAGGCTCCCTGTGGAACGCCTATAGCATGGAAATAATAAACAATAAGAATGCGGCAATATTGCAACAACAACAGAAGTATAGTAAGATCTTTATATACCTTTCTCCTTTACTAAGACCAACAACGTCGTTAATCTTTGGTCTCTGCTTTCCTTGCGTTCCTTCCACTGTTCTTTGATTATTATTTCATCAAGTTGCTGTCTAAATAATATCATTATTCAGGTCTCAATTTTATACTGTTACTCATTTGTTCAATTTTATTAAAGAGATAAAAACCAAAAGGTTCCGGTGTTTTTAATAAGAAGTTAGTAGCATAAAATAGTATAATATAACAGTAAACGTGAGTGTAAGGGTAGCGAATGCTATCTCATTTTGGACAGACGCTATTGACGTGAAACTTGGTATAAAGTCATGAGGTGTTTATAAAAACTAAATTTATTTACTTGGTACTTTACACATTATGTTTATGCTAGATTCGTACTTTTGGTTAGTACTGTAGCATAGCCTTAGCGAAATAAGAATGCGGTAGACTTGGTTCGCGTGACTTATTTTAAAATGAGGAAAGACGCTGTAACAAATACTCGTAAAATGATATAAAAAAATACAATTAATATAAAACTCTCCCTGCACTCTCCCAGACTAAACACAATACTCACTATTTACGTAGCAATAGAGGCCCTTGTGAAACAGTTCGTTCAGGGAAGTACTGCCACCTATTTCTACAGCCAAAATGATCACATTACTGTGTTCCGGTTGCGGTAAGGGTGCTGGTGAAAGTACATTCACTTTTTTTTTATAGGCAGGCATGTGGCTTACTACCAGGTGCACGACTTGTTTGTTCCGTTACTTGGTGTTTAAAAAAAACTGCATATTTTAATAGTAAACTTAAAGTAGTAGAATTAAATGAGGGTGATGACTTACGGGCACGTCCTCTCGTTTTGAGAATTTTGATGATCGTGACAACGAAAATACGTAAGAATAAGGGAAAGGGAATTCGAGAACGATTTAAAATGTTAAGAGTAAGTGGTCAAGAACCAGTAATGTTGGTGATAAAAGGTGGGATGACGATGAAGGTCTATCGATAGCATCGTCTGAGTACTACGAACTGCCTGGGCTACCAGGATATCGTTTTTCACTCCTCTACAACCACTCAAAACATGTTTTAGAGTTCACAAATTTTCTTTTGCTTCTCTTACACGAAACTGTTTTTGCAAAGTAATCCTTCACATTCGTATTATTCACACGAGGACTGAATGACCAAGGTTGGAGGACACTTGGAGTAGTCAAAGTGTATAAAGCTTGCGTACTCTGGATGCGAGCTGTGAAAATATGTCCAACTCATTAATGTCAGAGTATTGGTATTGTGGATTATTGATTATTCTGCCAGTCATTTACTTAGTAAATGACTTTGCCTATGGATTAATCGAAATTCGGCGCAACTTTGCCTCTTTTTGTATCAATTAAGGCAATGTCTACCTTCAGCATTCACGCACAGCGGCGTTGTCTTATAAACGAAAATGTATATACATAATGTGTACATAATGTAGGTACATTTCTAAAAGCTGTTTCTTGTGTACCATTAAAGTATCTACAGTTTTGTTCGGTTTTATGACGATAGACATGTGTCGATCTACAGAAAATACGGTATGATCGTCTGCTTCTTACACATTTACTCGAAATTGTCTCATGTCACGTCATGTTGGAGGATTGTGTATTGCTTAATCATTTACTCGTTACGTTTGATTACGCTTGGTGATCGTCGAAAAATCGAGCAAAACTGTAAGCACTTTTAAGTAGCAGTAGAGCTCCTTCTGAAAGAGTTCGTTCAGGGAAGTACTGCCACCTTACTTGTTTCTGCCACAAAGCAGTAATGTCAGCATTACTGTGTTCCGGTTTTGAAAGGTAAGGGTGCTGGTAAAATTACAGGCACATGGGATTTGTCAACTTAAGTCTCGGGGTGAATGGCGCAGTGGCAGTGACCCTCAGATCTTTGCGATTTAAAACTCTGAGTGGCACTGCAACTATTATGGACAGGCGTGTAGCTTACCATCAGGCGCACGACTTCTTCGTCCCTTCATCTGATATCGTAAAAAAACTCTAGGTTTTTTTTTCTTTTCTGTGTTGAACATTTGTAGTAATTGTGGATAGTTCCGCTAGACACCATGTCTTGTACCACATAGTCTAATAAAGCAGAAAACGTGCGAAATTGGGTTATGAGCGCAGGTGCATTTGTCATACGTCTACCTGTAAACCACGGTGCTAAATCATGAAGCTACGATTTGTTCCGATTTCTATTATTACCTATTCCGAGAAATATGGTTTGGAGATAATCAATTTCTACTGCAGTAGCGTAAAATTTGTTAAACGGTAGAATTTCAAATAATTCATTTATGAGCTCTCGCGGAGTACGACGACTAGAAATACATTTAATGTCAATTTATTTTGAAAAAATGTTTCAAAAACAGAAAAAATGTACGTATAAATGCACAAGTGTATACAAGGCACTTATTTATATGTACAATATCGATATCATTGTTAAATGCACTGATAATCTCGTGTAATAAAATCGTATAGCTTATTAATTTGAATTGATTGCATATCATTGAACTTTGAAACAACTTTAGTTGTAATGAAACCAGAATAAGCAGATTGTCAAAAATTTAGTAATGCACAAGAAAAAATTAAATAATCTTTAATTTTTTTTTTATAAAAATGGAAGTGGCAAGCTACATACGAGCACGAAACCCACCTCTAAGGTCAGTGTAGTATAATTTAGTTCTTCAGCGCTTTTTCGTTTCCGATTCGTTCCCTCTCCAGACATTCCATTCCACACAATCCAGTTCTCGTCTTAAAGCGTCACAACGAATTTACTAGCAGTAGAACTCCTTGTGAAATCGTTCGACCAGGGAAGTACTGCCACCTTACTACTGTTTTGCTTCTGCCACCAAGCAGTAATGTGAGCATTACTGCGTTCCGGTTTAGAAGAGTAAGGGTGCTGGTGAAATTACAGGCACAAGTGACTTGTCAACTTATGTTTCATGGTGACAGGCGCAGTGGCAGTGGCATATTTTTGCGATTTAAATCTCTGAGTGGCGCTGCAACTGTTATGGACAGACGTGTACCTTACCATCAGTCACACGACTATTTCGTCCCGTCCTTGATGTTATAAGAAAAGAGAATGGACTACCTTTCAAATCGCTCGTCATCGGCGCGTGCGGTCATGTAGCTCGACTGCCACACTGGTACACATTGCAACAAAATTCTAATTCTAGTGAAATTTAGTAGTTTAAGACAAATGCTCTCTTAAGAGAATTGATAAGCTCCGGCAAAAGATGTTTTGAAAAATGTTTGCTATTTCAGCAACACTCTTCCCCTTGGCACACACAATACGCCACCGGAAATGTTTATGCTTTGATGCGTATGTTATCAAGTTATAAGTATCATTTCACTTATAAAGTACAGCCCCATATATTCTATTAATTTTCTTGATTGTAGTGCCTCTTCGTACCCAAAGTTTTGGTTATACGAGAAGAGCAGTATTACCAGTTCAAGCAAGCCCGCACAGGGACCTATCAGTCAGATTCTGCCTAATAGGTCCCTGTGTCCCTGATCTGCCGTTTGACACAGACTTCATATGATTCTCAAAAGGCTAGGCCTTGGATGAGCGCCCCCGGGTGTACGTACAGAATCCTCCCTATTGTCCATATGGGTACCGAAGTTGTGGACTTGTTCACTTCCCGTTGTGCATTGTACAACTAACGTTTGTCATTACTTACAAACAAACACTGTTCAGGCTTCCAAGTTACAGCTTTGCTTCAAAATATGTGTGTACTAGAATTTTTA